TCTTTACTAAGTTCCTATTAGTAACTAGGTCCACCGCTCATAGGCGCCCGTGGTGTAAAATAGCATTTTCAATGATTCAATGTTGTTTGAATCACGCAATTCCACTGCCCAACTACTATACTACATAATGAATCATAATGATAGTTAGTTTTAACACATATGAAGTAATATACACACATGCACAAACTAAGTCTGATTATAGTAGTTATTAATTAATCAAAAAAAAACTACCATAGTTAAAAATGAAAATAAAATAGTAATAGCAAGATAACTACTATACCTATTATGATTATTGGGATTGTTATAACAAATTGTTTAATAGATTAAAACAAGTGTGTTTTATAATTTTACTATAGATAATTATCTGTTAACTATCACATCTATCTATAACCAAAACTGTGATATCACACTATCTCATAACATCTACTATAACGTACTGGGGAGTTGAACAGGAACATAGTTCGATAAGATAGATCTATAATTTGTAACATCTATAACTTACTGTGGATGGTTGTGAAATCCTGCACCACCAAAAGGATGGTTGAAACCCTATAAGTAATGGGATAAACCACCTATCAGTTATGTTTTGTTTTATGTTCATTATGTGGTTTTGGGATGTTTTGGAATGTTTTGAATGTGTTTCATCTATAAATAAGCAATTTTCCATGGCTATGTTAAACAACCAGCGGGTATATACAGCAAAAATAGGGCTAAGAACCATAGAAATAGATAGAAATAGAAGGTTTACCTCTTAATAGCATGGTGATTTTCCATGGCTATGTTAAATAACCAGAGGGTATACCATCATATATCCTAGTTAATCCCATTAATTCCGATTAAATCACCATTAAACCACCATTAAACCACCATATGTTAGTCATAACCAGAGGGTATACAGTAACTTACTAAGATCTTCAGTTTTACAACTCTCCCGGAACATCATCGCCTGCGCCGATCTCGCTCTCCGCGGCGTCCCAGCAAACCTTGGATGCTGGAAGCCTCAGATTTTGCCGACGCGCGCAGGCAGGAAACGCCTTAAAGATGGGCTGTTTGCCTTGAAAAATTACGCAAAATCCACATTAAAATATGATTAAAACGGAATATATCAACGAAAGTAGAAATATCAATTCAAACATATTCAAACCTGAAATGAGGTTGAAGATGGATGTTTTAAGATGGATTCTTCATCGAGTTCACTATTGTTGGGGGAAAGACGCACGTGAATTGTGTGCCATTGAAACCACAAGATATGTAATGTGTAATGTATAATGTAATGTAATGTACCAACCAGAAACTGAATCGATTGTGTGTATATATATAATAGATGTATATGTATATATATATATGTATATGTATATGCTTTATAAATTTATCCGGTTCATGCGAATGTACATGCAAAAACTACAAGACCCTCAGGTTAATTGGCTTTGCAGGCACTATCCATGCCTTGGCAGCGATCATCCAGGGCGTCGAAAAACCAGCGGTTTTTTTTGGGTCAAAATGACGGAACCAAAAAAAAATGATGATTCCAACATGATCAACAAACATCTGTGGTCCCAGGGTCTTACTTTTCTTTTAGCCCCAAAATCTGACGGACCGAATTTCTGTCAAATGATGATCAGGTCCTTCGAAAAACAGAGCCCCCAAAATGTGAGTCTTGACAGTAGGTCCATGTAGGTCCAGTGGCAGCTGGAGAGAGATTGATGGGAGCACCCAGGCAAACCACAATACCATAGATGCAGCCTAGGCCGATGCACCGACATGGTGATTCTGTTGGGGAAGCCATGGCAATGTGGCTACCAATTTCAGGACTGGTTTGAAAACCGGTGCAAGAAAACCATGGGAAAAAGCATGAAAAAGCGCCATTAATATAAATTATATATATATATATTGCATTGAATTGCTGTTTTTGTAGATGTAATGTAGATGGTACAAGTCCAGCCACGCACTGAAAACATCATCATGTCATCGTTGCGGTAGTTCAAGATGAAGTCCTGTTCCGTGAAGCCTCGAAATGAGACCTGAGCCGCACCGGGCGAGGCGGTCAGCCAATTAGCCACCTTTGGTGTTTGGCAACATTTTCTCTGATGAGCACATGACCTACATGTTTGGGCCAACAAGAGTCTATTGCATGGGTTCAATAGCAAATTCTGAACTATCTACACAACTTACCATCACCATAAGTGAGTATGAACCCAAATTTACTACTGTTTTCATACCTGGTTGCATTGAACGACAGCAATTCACCTGGTTTTTCCAGGTGATTTGAGGTCCCCTTATAAGGTGGGTACGATAGTTATATCTACATCTCCATAAACATCCATAAACCATGGTTGATTAACACGATTTAACCAATACTCAATCTAGTCTTCATTCTGGTTGATTAACACTCATTAATTAACCATAGTTAATCTATTACCCTCTGATTATTTACAGTAACATAGCTATGGAATGCTATGGAAAATGGCCCATTTATAGATGATGTATGATGATTTATGATGATTTACCTATGAAAAAAAAGGTGATTTTCCAGTTCGCAAACCGTTAAATTCGGTAAATAACCACAGGGTAACACAAGTTATAAGCCAACTAAAGGATCATCATAGGATCATCGGCTCCATGATGAAAAACCGAGGTGGCCGAGTCACGTAGCCAGCAAGGCCCATGAGCAGGTAGAAAACCAATTCGATGCAAACCTGTGGGGTTAACCCAATGGTTTTTGTAAGAAGATGATCCCAAGATTTTTTTGGGATAAACTCACATCTATGGGAATCAAACCTCGGCATGGGAATTTACACAGAAATCTAGGTGGAAATAACATGAAATAACTGGGAACATCATCTATTTTTATGACAAGTCTTTTCCATGGTCATGTTTGACTACTGGAAAGTACTTTAGGGTGGCTTCAGGTGAGAAGCAAATCCAAAGACATACTGTATACAGACTTAAAGCAGCAGCCGCTAGTACTGCGGGGGTCTCAAACTTATGGGAATAGACATCATTGAAAACGGCAAACAACATGGAACCACCGACAAGAGGCTGATTTTCGACAAGACTATGACTATAACGAAACACTGCTGGTTTCTTGTCATTGAGAATTTCAGAATGAGATGAGAGCATGTTGCAGAGATGTAACCATATCACACCGGCCTGCGAGAGGTATGGAGGAAACACATCGGTTCAACATGGAAACACTCTCCTGTCAAGACAAGTTATTCAAATTGGCTTTGATCAACACCTATCCAGGTAAAATGTGGTACAGTTATCAACATCCAATTCTCAGATTGATTCAACTTAAATATCACTTTTTTGGAGCGCTTGTTGGTCAGGACATGGATTTACAACAACGAGTCTCAGATGAGAATCTTCCTACCCCAGGATTTTTCGGCCAATTTTTTTTCAAGAACCTTGCCACTACTGATTTCGACCGTAACGACCGTATCCGTGGATACCGTGGATATTGATCTATATTTATGATAATATGTTGTCGCTATATCATGATACATCTATGATAATAGATTTCGGATCCTGTAGATGTTGGATGGGATAACGCGCGTCATCAAACCAGGGGCCAGGTTAGATCGGTTAGATGGCCAGACGGTAGCCGACGGTATACCTTGACAAGGGAGGGACCTGAGTACAAGTTATGGGTCGAGCAATGAGTACCTGAAGATTTCACGAAAATTTCAACCATCCTGCAGATATTTTGCGCCAATTTTCACTGAATGGACCTAACCAGTCAACATGGATGAAAAACCCGGGTTAGCCTGATTCTGGTTGGTGGTTAAAAAACCAACTTGAAAAATGATGGAGTTCGTCAATGGGAAGGATGACATCCCAATACATCCCATTTTTTTAATGGAAAAATAACAGCCATGTTCCAACCCACCAACCAGCATTGCTAGGGCAATCCGACCCATTCCAATAATCCCCATGCCCATCCCGAAACTCAGTCTCGATTCTCAGCCGGGAATCGGCAGTGCCCGATGAAACACACCCGGAACGACAATGGCAGTGCCAAAGAACATACCCTCTGGTAATTTAACATAGCTATTGAAAATGGCCATTTATAGTGGATTTTCCCATTAAACATTGTGATTTTCCATAGCTATGTTAAATTACCAGAGGGTAAAACATCCCCAAACGGACCAAACAACATAGAACTTTGTCGGATCACGTCCCCTGCTCTTCATGACTTTCCTGAAACTATAAGAATTCACCAAGCTGCAATAAGGATCAACGAGGTCATGTGGGGATGACTTAGCCAGTTTGTAAATGGAGTGGTTTATAATCCACTTGCTAACCAGTCCAGCTAATCCCATGGCTAAGTACTAAGTAAGCATTAACCCACACACACACACCATTATTCCAATAACTTTTCGTCCATTTCAGGAGCCCTTTGGGACGGCAATCCATCCGGAGCGTTGCAGCTGGGCCCAATTTCTGCGCCCCTTTTTGGCGGCGCTTTTGTTCTCTGTGACTGACCGAACGACGCTGTTGCGACCCCAAAATGCTATGGGTTGCTGGGCACACCAAATACAATGAGATAAATGTAGCTGAATATAGAAACACATTTACCAAACAAAAACAAGAGTGGTTGGAACAGCCCAAAAATAAGTTGGTATAGCAAAAATAATTGGAGGATGTGATATAATGATAATATCTAAAAAAAACAACCATATTGGACACGATGGTATCAAAAACTCAAATGGCGTTCCACCAACCAATTCAGAACACAAAATAACATGAGGCTTAAAAAAACAAATTTGACCATCTCTTTGATGTGTGGAGCCAGGTTTTTTTTTTTCCATCGTGGCGATGCATTCCCATCTCTATTGTGTTGGACAAATCTCTGTGTTGTGTTGGTCAGTATCCACATTTTTCACTTGCAACTTGCTACTAGTGCTATCAGCGGCCATCATTGGCTATCATTACAAAGCTAGGAAAATAATTTTCGAAACAATTTGTTGGGGTTTTCAGTTTTCAAGTAGTTTCCGAATCTCGGTCAATCACTTTGAGCCATTCCTACGAAGTTCACTACCGAACCACGACCTCTGTCCAAACACACCGGGTGATAGTCACTGCAACCAACCGTGGATCCTGGCGAAGTCATGTCCTATGCTATGATCGGTTGCCCCCCTAGCTATTTAAGTTGATTTTTAGACCCAATTAATAGTACGATGTATCGACCTTGAACCATAGTTATTCGAGTTATGAAGCAACTTACTCTCTGGCAATCAAACGTGGAATGGAAGATATCACCGTTTTAAACGGGAGTTTACAGCTGGTAAAACACATATAAATTAAAATTAAAATCATATATTCATCTGGTTGGTGGTTTCAACCCCTCTAAAAAATATTAGTCAATTGGGATCATTATTCCCAATATATTTGGAAAAAAAAAACATGTTGCAAACCAAGCAGATATATTAACGAATGGATTTTCCAGCCAGCCACGTTTCACCGGAGCCAGCACTTGTTTTATCATTCAACCAGTGAGGTGCCACGATGCCTCAGAGGTTCTACATGGCGTGCCAAATCTCATGTCCTTTTTTTGGCATAGATTAATCCCAAGCCCTGTCCCAAGAAAACATATGTTTCGTCTGTGAAATCACAATGTTTGGTGGTAACATCCATTTATTTCTTGAACTCTTGGAAGGAAACGATTCTCATTTCTTATCTGCCATGGAACTCCAACTGGAAAAATCATCAGTGAAAATATCTGGGCATCCTTCGGCGGGGCTCGTGGTGGTGGTGCTCATGCCAGGCCTGCCGGGTGCCAGACGATCAGACTTCATAGCTCCGACCATTCCTCAGCCCAGTGCGGTTTTTTCAAGTTTGGCTAGCGAAATGTTGCACCTTTTCGGATAGAATGGGGATACAGAACCAGAAAAAATCCAGAAACAGAACTGTCTGCAGCAAATTTCTTGGAGGTGTACCCTGTTTCTGGGAGGATGGGCAAAATTTGATCAAACCATAGAGAAACTTATATTACACAGGGTTTGACCACGCAAAAGTACAACCAAGCCGGACCAAGCCAGACAACCCATAACACATGCAAAAAGACATGAATTGACCCGGATGTTCAACAGCAAATGCATACTACGGATTCATCCCGGGATCCACGGGAAACATGGCACAGCCCATGATTTTCTGTGATATCCTTACACAACTTCTCCTTGTTTAATGGAAAAAAGTAGCAAGGCCAAAAAGATAGAATGATAGAATCTGATAGAATCTGATAGAACTTGAAGATCTCACGAAATATAGTGGTTTGTTTGATGATCAATGACTATTCAACACTTGAATTGGCTCAAAATCCTCGATTCCTCAGTAGCCATAAGTAGCCCATCCCGTCCAAGGAGCGGATCAAAGGGCGGCACCGGCCGCATCTTTATGTACAAGTTCTGGGCAGTTCCCAGGTGACGACTTGAAGGCATGGGGCATATGGGGAAGGGAAAAACCAATCCATGACAACTGAAAAATGAGGGGAAGATATGGGCAAAACCGGTGGAAAAGTTTGGACACCAAAGTTTGGGACAAAACACACTAGTGACTTTGATTGAAGTCAGGTGTTGAAATCATCTCAAATATTGAAATATTAATTATTGGACATAAAAACGCATAAATCACCGACCCTCCAACCAAGTGAAGCTTGAAGATCTCAAGACTGAGATGCAAAGGTAAGTATGAAATAAGCCATGGAGACCTTCCCAAAATCAATTTGGTGGTTGCTGGTTCCAAGATTCTATCTTCAGGATAGACCATGAAATTATATGGTTCAATCAACTAAAATAGTCCCTCATAACATTAGCCCCCGCAGAGTGCCTAGGGGGATGGGAGTAATGGACAACTCAGGTTATCCAAACTTAAGGGTCAAAACCCTGGTGCTCGGATGGGACCCTAAGATTGCTGGCAAAAGAGGACGTAAAAAAACCACCAAATATGGTAATAATACTAGGCTTTGAAACATCCCCAAATCATTTGTTTACAGCGTCGTGGAAGCTGAACCAACCTTTCACCAAAGTGCGGCACCTGACATTCCAAAATGTTGCGAGTCACTTTCTACATTGCCGTTCCCCAGAAAAATCCAGATGTTCTGACCTATGAAAGAGTAAATCATAACTATAAAGAAAAGAAAAGAACACTGGCAATTTCCTTGATTTTCATGATTTGGATGTTTCCGAAGATTTGGATGTTTCCGAATGGGGGTACCCCTAAATCATCCATTTTATTTTCGGATTTTCCATTATAAACAATCCATTTAGGCTACTCCCACTTTTGGAAACCCCATTGAAACCCCAACCAGTCACCCCAACCAGCGCAGCTCCGCAGCGCCGCAACCGGGCCACTCTGGGATGCTTTTGCAAATCCAGGATTAAATCCCTGACCTCGTTGGTACAATCCGTAAACTCCTGCCCGGGATGAGATCGGAGGCTTCAGGATCTATGGCTTTAGCATGCTTAAAAATTCATACACAATCCCGAAGCTCAGGTTTATAGCATTGGGTTTCAATGTCACAAAATATACCGAATGTTTTTGCTGGTTACATACCAATATTTCCTGGTTCTATACCCATGCTGGTTTGCAACCTCAAGGCTTAGACACTCTGCCCTCCATTTTTTTTTAGCAGCTGGTTAGGTGAACGTACATATATATATATATATATAATTTATATAGTTATATATAATATAATATACAATACAACACAACACAACACAATACAATAATACAATATAATCTTAATACAATCAAAAAAATATAATGAAAATAATTCAATATAATATAAGATAAGATAAGATACGATAATAATATAACATAGCATATAAGAAAGCATAATAAGTAATACATAAGAAAACAAAGATAACATAACAATAATATATAATACAATAAAACAGACCATAATATACTGAATATACATTAATGACATGTAATATGACAGAATATAATACATTATCATATACTATGATTTATGGTAAAACTAACTCCATATATTACAATATAATGAAATATAATAAAATAAAATAAATATAGTATAATACAAAATAATATATATATATATACGTATATATATATATGACACAATATATACAGTAATATAACATAATACAAGACAATATAATACAATGTAATACAATATAATACAATGTAAATAGCATACTATAATACAATATAATATATACAATATAATATAATATAATATAATATAATATAATATAATATAATATAATATAATAATATATCATAATATAATGTAATGCAATATAATGTAATGTAATGTTATGATATATATATATATGACACAACATATTTACATATATATATAACATTATATATATGTATATCATAATACTATAATATATCATCTATATATTATATTATATATATACATATGTACCCCCAAACAGTAACATAGCAAAGGAAAAACAAATGCTAAAGTTCCCATCCAAGCTTGACCCAAACAGCACAGAAACATGGCTCCTCGCGAGTGGCCTTGGCAGTTTACAATGATGCTGGGCTGGATGAACATCTACGCTTGGATCCATGTATTCCCCGTGAAAAAGTGAGGGACTTCCTGCGGACCTTCCGGCTTAAACTGGGAACATCAGTGGACTGTTGACTGATCAGACCGAAAGACTCGTGAATAAACAGATGTAGAACATGAAGAAACAAAACAGACAGAAATGGATCTGATCTTACGTCCAACCTCTCCATTGAAGTTGGCTTGCGACTCTGTGCGGCTAGAATTATGCAAAAAGAACCATGTTTGATAGGAAATGTGCTGCAATGTTCCAGTTGATTCCTTTAAAAACATTGGTTTTCATGTGCTGCAGCTATCTGGTACTTTAAGATAGCTATGGAAAATAAGACTTTTTCTACCAGGCAAATCATCCGTAAATATTATAGCTATTCGGCATAGCCGGCTGTTCACTTGCCGGATGGTAGTATGGGAATACACGGACAATGCGGACAATCCCATCCTGTGAGTGTCCATTCCATTCTGCAGCTTAAAACATGTTAGATCTGCTCCACATATCGCAGCATATCGCATGCCAGGACAGTGCTGAATCTGTCAGTCTAGACAGTGCTTTCATCCAAAAGCGCGGGATTAAGGGCTGCTCAAGCGCAGCTAAAAGAGTTGATCTCCCTGCAGCCGTGGTAAACTGCTGTCGGATGGTTCCATATGATGTGCATCCCAGTTGACATGTAAATGTTGCAATGGTTACTTCACCCAATTGACATTTTGCTTAAGACACTTTCACCCATTTCATTTATGTCGTTGATCTTCACGCAATATCTCTGGAACTGAGTAACTGGGAGAACCCACCAAAACGTAATGATCACCTATGGTCACCCATGCATACATTTGTTGAAATTGGAGAGTAAAACATGCATACCACCACAGAAAGCCCCCCCTCCCGTTTAAAAGTTGTTTTATGACCTCATCAGAGGAGTTGGACATATCTACCATAAATCCAATCGTTAGCCTATGCCTACCAACTTAGGCACCTTTCTGCATGGTGTTGTCGATTTATATGATTAAAACTGACATTGTTGGACATGTCCAGGAGTGGTTTCTTCCTGACATTCGAAATAGAGCAATTGGACATAACTAGACCATATTGAACCTCCAAGAACCACCATTGTTCCAGATAATTACGCTCCAAAAGCTTCAAAACCACCATCAATCGACATCAATCCAACAAGTTTCATGGATAAACCATACACAGTCTTAATCATGTTTACATATCTCACATATCTAACATGTTGAAATTGGAGAAAATTCAAGCTCCAAACCACATCCAGCATCCAAGTCTCATAGGATCTTCCCAGCAAAATCTCCCGCAGCGGCTTCAGTGGTGGTAAAACGCTGTCGCCCCACGTGGAATCCGCCGTGGCCACTGCCGGCTCCGGTGGCAACGTGGGCACCGCACGCGCGGCCGGCGCCGGTATGGGGCGCGGTGCCGAGGGCACGGCTGGAGCGGGGTCCTTAGTGCAGTTATGACGAATGGCAAATCCAAACGGATCTCTGTCTGTATATGAAAATTGTTATATACTATATTCGGATTATACATTGAAATTGGGTTTACCTTTTATATATGTATATATAGATATTGGAATTATATATATAATATATATACATGTATACATTGGATTTACATGTACAATCATGTACAGTATATGGCGGTTGTTCTAAATTCCTTCATCTGCAAACGGCCACTCTTCGCGAAAAAAAAACTTTCGCGAATCTTTCGCGAACCCAATGTGTCTCTTTCGCGGGGGTCTCATGTTAAAAACTTTCGCTCCACTAAATCTTTCGCCAAAAAAAAATAACAATACTTTCGCGAACTCAACAAAAAAACTTTCGCGGGTTTCATGTTGAAACCCGGCGGCCTTGGTAATCAAAAACCCTTATGTGGGCCTTGTGAACGACTTCCATATGATGTATGGATCAATTGTAGCAATTGATTAACCTGAAAAGTTCGGCCATTTCAGAAACGTTACCCGAATCCACTATCATTCCGGTTACGTCGCAGTCAGATCGTTACAACTCATCCAAATATTTGGATCATCCTGGAAATTATGGGGATTTATCCGGCCATGATGGTCAAACAAAAATGTAGATGTAAGCAACAATGTGCAACAATGGTCAACAATAATAAGATAATGTAAAGGTCCAAATATAAAAATTTCACCCTGAAATTATTACATTTATAGATTTCTCTGATGATCAACCCTGGATAGAATCACGCTATTCTCAGACAAATCCGTATGTAAAACTGAACAAATGTAATTTGTAAATATCGACATGATAGGCATTGATGTTTCAATTGGTTTTCATGTTTGGAAACATGTTGTGGTGTTGTGGGGATAGACAAAGGATTTTGTGTGTCCAAATGTGTCCTTGGGTTATCCCGAAATCCCAACGACCCAATGACAATTTGGGTTGGTTTTGTTGGGAAAATCTACAGGAAACCCTGCTGGTTGCCATCAATGAGTTAAGGCTTTCCTGCAGATTTCCCCCTAAACCGATTTTGGGACACATTCAATGGTTTGGAAACCAACAAAATGGAGGGTATGAATCCAAACATACTATGAATGACAAGTGATATAAAAAACAAAGCGAGGTATGTTATCCAAAAATGCTGTGAACATGTTCAATTATTTAGAACATGTGTTCTACTGGCCAATTTTCGGAGAAACCATGGTGTTTCAAGCCACAAGACAGGAATATGGTCGGGATACACGCGAGAGATTGGTGAGTAAGGCAATTCATAGGCATTAGTTTTAAAATTTTGAAGTAATTAATAGGTCCAAAATTCAGCCAACAAAAGAAAAACATGATGAAATCCCATGCAATCCCATCAAATCTATGGTTTCTTCTTGTCTTCCCATGGCTCATTTCCCATAGAGAGAATACTTGGATGTGCATCCCACATTGTAGATGGGGATATACCCCTAGTTAGATTAATGGAATATCCCCTAGTATATATATATACATGTATGTATATATGGGATGACATATTAATTGGTCATATATGGATCATGATCAAAACCTATGGATCCTAAGTGGTATTATGGAAATTACCATTGGGCATTTCCCCTAGAGATCATAAAGTATCTGGTTTTGTCGGAAAATAGAGCACTCCAAAATCCCAATAGTTTCTCATACTCACCCCATAGTTTCTCATAGTTTAGCCCATAGTTTCTCATACTTTTACCTATATGGAAGTTTCCATGAATGCGGGTACCCCAAAAAAATCCAGTTGATTTTCGGATTTTCCATGAAAGAACAAAAAATCCATTTGGGGATCCCTTCATTTATGGAAAGCCCTACCCTCTGGTAAACTAACATAACTATGGAAAATCACATGTTTTAATGGGAAAACTCACTATAAATGGCCATGTTCAATAGCTATGTTAAATTACCAGAGGGTACTTTTGGTAGTTTGCAAGCATCCCCCATGGATCACTTTGAAGAAATCAACTGGACCATGGTTGAATCATTTATCCAAATTCATTATCCATGGTTGAATCATTGTATATTTGATAGCCATTCTTGGGGTCCCCATTTCCACCGTCCCCTAAATCTTCGCGACCCAAGGGACCCAAGGGACCGTTGGACGTCCCTCATCGCTAAGCTCTGGATCTGGGAGATCTGAGGCCTGGGCCCAGCGCAGTTGGTTTCTGTCACTTATGTTATATCCCAGTGCTATATAATACCATATGTTACCCTCTGATAATTTAACATAGCTATTGAAAATGACCATTTATAGTGGAATTTCCCATTAAACATGGTGATTTTCCATAGTTATGTTAGTTTGCCAGAGGGTAATACCATATGTTATCTGGTAAATCCTATGGTAAATCCTGTGGTAATCACTATTATCCTATGGTAATCACTATGGTAATCATTATTATCCTGGTTGGTGGTTAAAAAACCATCTTGAAAAATATGAGTTCGTCAATGGGAAGGATGACATCCCATATGAAATGGAAAATAAAATTCATGTTCCAAACCACCAATCAGTTATATATATATAGTTCCATTACGTTCCATTACTATATAATACCATGTATAGTTCAAGGAGATCTGAGATTGAATGGGATATCATAGGACGTAATGGGATGTAATAGGACTTAGTATATATGTGTTATGTTTGTCACTGACAGTTTATGGGACTTAATGGAATGTTATGGGATTTTATGGGATTTTCCCTCTGGTGTCAGTAGAGATGCATTGCTTGAACATCCACTATGGTATTTCTAGCTGTGAAAATCCTCGAACTAAAATGATGGATTTTCCAGCAAACCATGTTTGATTGCCAGAGGGTAAGTCCATGATTCATGGCTAATATCCCAGTAATCTCTCAGATTTCGATATAGGTATAAGTCAAAACCCTCAAAAACCCTGGGTACCCTAAGTCATAGCTGGCTCATAGATGTTTATTCCCCCGTTCAAAAAAGGCCGTTCGTATGGTAAATTCATAGGTCCAATTCCCCTCCGGTGTCATCATGGAAAAATCACTGGGAACTCCCCTTAGGTTGAGTTCCCTGGGAAGATCGTCTCGGGAATTGTCTAGCCATGTGACTTAAAATAACGGAGGGTAATCCAACACCTATGCTGGTCCTTGGAGAGATTGGAGATCCGTATATGTATGCATAAATATATAATATTTATACTTGTATATAATGTATATATATATATATATCAATATATATATATATATAATGTATATATTAATATATATATAATCATAAACATCTTTATATATATATAAATATATATGTATAATTAACGGAAAACAACATGAAACCACCAGATTCGTTCCTTCACCTGCAAAAATCGACCCTGGGGACAGATTCGCTCACCATGGTGCCGTACTGTAATACCCAGGGGTTGACCCATGTTGATCTCAAGAATACTTGACGTTCACAAGCAAATGGGATATAACTAATAATCCCAATGGTGATTTATTTATGGTTAGTTATACAATAAATACTCATGATTATTAGTAGTGGTTTACTAAATACTCATGACCATAAATATCAAAAATGGTGATTTATTGCGAATAGACATAATTGTATAACAGCAATCTATATAAATATGAATAATTTATTTATATATATATATATGATGTATGCATGCTCTTCATGTATATAGAGTAAATTCATAAATACACATCATCCTTCAAGCGTACCTGTCACGCCAGGAAACATCGGCAATGGGCGGTGTCCAGCCATCGATTTTGGGTTCCTGCTTCATCCATTGGCTCTCCCTGGTCATCGCATGATGAGGAATGGATTTACCATTAAAATCCCTAGGGAATCATGAACCCCCAATGGCCAATGAATGGATACGCTATATTATATATAGATATGATATTACATGTATGTAAATATATATATATATATGTATTACATATTATATATTATATATATTAAATTTTAAAGATTATTTGTTATATTGCATTGTATATTAACTATATTATATTAAATTACATTATACACACATTATGTAATATATTATTATTATTATGATTATTATTATTAATTATTATTATCATTTTTTATTATTATTATTTATTATTATTATTCTTATTATTATATATATTGTATATTATATATAACCCAACTTTTGAGCAAGGCACATGCGGGCATGGGTCAAAACTACCATTTAGATCCATTTAGGTTTGGGTTTGGATTCTGGAAAAACCATGGAACAACCAGGATATCAAGGTGCTGACCCATAGAGTAGCCATCTATTACCCGGGTATTTCATCAGTAACTGGGGTATGATCTGCTTACCCTCCAGTAAATTAACATAGACCCTGGCAAATGGGGGTTGGAAGATTACTTTCCACTACAAATTGGTGATTTTCAGGGTCAAACGGTTAATTTACCAGAGAGTACTACCCACATTCGAAGTGGAATGCAGAGATTGGGTTCCGGCGATTCGCTGGCATCAAACATGGCTGGAAAATCACCCTTGTACAATTGATTTCCCATTAAACCTTCCATTGAAAAAAACGAGATCTTCCATGTTTGATGACACAAATATTAGTTCAGCATAGTTCAGCATTTAAGATCCACATTGAATTGAGTTCCCAACCTACTCCAACCCCTCAATGTGATGAACCCGCGAAAGTGTGTTTCCAAATACCACAAGGCTGATCAATCCCCAAGGAACCTCTCCAAAATCGCAAGATTTTCGTTGATTTTCGTTCAGCACCAGTTAACCATCTATTATATTAACCATCTATTATTAACTATCTACTATTAACCATCTTTTATTAACCATCTATTATTAACCATCTATTATTAACAATCTATTATTAACCATCTATTATGAACAATCTACTATTAACCATCTATTATTAACCATCTACTATTAACCATCTATTATTAACCATCTACTATTAACCATCTATTATTAACCATCTACTATTAACCATCTATTATTAACCATCTACTATTAACCATCTATTATTAACCATCTATTTAACCATCTATTAACCATCTAACCATCTATTGTTAACCATCTATTGTTAACCATCTATTATTAACAATCTATTTCGTTGACGGATTTTCATGAGCTTGTTAAGTATCTATTAGGAAGTCACCGTATTGGGTGGTGAAATCATGTGAAATCCCCCCCATTCGACGGCCAAACTTGGACCAATCCCAGCAAGTGACTATCAGCTCACTTAGGCGGGAACCCCGTGGCTATCCAATTGAAACTTGAAGAACAAGAACCATAGTATACCATAGTTATGCAATATGTAGTATAGATTAGTATAGTATTTACCACTTAGTTGCTAGTTAATATAATTTGTAATGCAATGATAAGTAATCACATGCAAATATATCCAATATCATTTACAGTTGGCTGAACAAATGGGATAACCCCACGAAAACAGGGGACGGGACCGGGGACCTACTAATTACTCCGAAGTGCAGTTCCACCTATATGCTATATCATCTTATCCTACAAGAACCCCGAGTTATATATATATATGGGAATAAAATGGATTATACAAGTCTATATATATAATTATATATATGGGATTAAATGGGATACCCCCAGTTCTATACCATCCAGTAAATTAACATAGACCCTGACAGAAAAGGTTTTTTTCAGATTAGTTTCCACTAAACATTGGTTATTTTCTGGGTCTATGTCAATTTACCAGAGGGTATGTTTCAGAAAACCGCAGTTATATATATGGGATTATATGGGCTACCCTCTGGTAAACAGACAAAAAACTATGGACAATCACAATTTTTAATGGGAAAACGCACTATTTCTATGGCCATTTTCAATAGCTTTTTGTATGTTTACCAGGCCGGGTATGATTTCATTTATCTGGGGGTATCCCATAACTAACTCGGAATATACCATTATATATGTTTATCCCATAACTAACTCATAACATAGTAAATGGTTCATATCCAAAAAAGTGGATATCCTATAAAGAAAGTGATGGGTTTATACTATCATATAAAACTATACTATCATGGGGGATATTCTATATTAAGCTGGTATAAATTAAATCTATAGGAAATATCTATCATATTTACCTGGGAGAATCCTAGCAGTTCCCACCTTCCAACCTTTTCCAGGTCGTCGCGCCAGGGCGGTTGGATACCAACTGCAGCGACCGAGCGACCAACCGGTCGGAGAGCGTCCCGGGGCAGAACTTGCAGCCCAAAAATGATTAAGGGATGGTGGTTAATCATATGTATGTATATATATATATATACATATATATATATATATATTCATTTACCAATGGTAATTAATGGATATAATATATATATATATATATGTGTAAACCCAATAATAGTCATTGATTAATGGTGGTTAATGGATATTCATGGTAATTAATGGTGATTATTTCATTGATTAATGGTAATTGATGGTAATTAATGCAAATATATATAGTGTGTAAATATATATATAGTGTATATATATATATCGGATGATATGGGATACCCCCAGTGCTGGACCTGTAAATTAACATACATGGGATATATGGGAGTATATGGCATACCCTCCAGTAAAGCCAATAATAGTGGTTAATCAATGTTAATCATGATTATACAATAGTGGTACGTCACTGAAAATAGCGGTTCATGTGGTAAACCCGCTGCCATGTGGGATATAGTATGATATTACAGCTAGTGGGATTTTACTAGACTCTATCTTTTAGGGCGTTGGATTTACCCCAACAAAATGATCCGTTGAATGGCTCATTTCAAACATCAACAAACGCGCTGGAAGCTCAAGCCAAGGGGTGATTCGGATTTTGTGGGGATCAAAGTCGAAATCCTACCATTTGGACACCAGCCTTTGGTATACCCATAGACCCTCCGGTAAACAAACAAACAGCCCATGTAGTATAGTTGGTAAAAACCTGGTCAACATCACAATTCTCCATGGCTATTTCAGTTATTCTTAGTTTACCAGATTGCAATTCTATCTAGCAATCCATCCGTCTATCACTCGAATTTCATCTATGCAAAACTATAGCTTCCGGCAAGAATCTGGTCAACATTTTAAATCGTGAGCAGTGCAGGAAGGGTCCCCCCTGAGTTATGGATTTATTTGGGGGTTCTTAAAATAGGGGATCCCCAAAACCAATCAAAACCATAGGTCTCAATACTAAAATAGCCTGATTTTGGATGAGCTTTGGGGCACTCCTATTTTAGGAAACCTCCATTTTTAACCCCATCGAATTATAGCCGCTTCCTCTTTGGGCCAAGCATGATTTCTCCTATTTCTCACCAGGATCTGTTGCTTAAACCCCGTTTGAATGTGTTTGACTCGCTAATTCTCCAGTAAGTAATTAATGATTGTTGGCAAAATATCCTACAATCCCATAATCATTGCTTGTTGTACCCCCCATTCTCACTGGTGAAATTATATTCTTCTCTGCATAATTTCCCATCTTGGCCAAATTATGATGCTCGGACAATGCTGTTCACACGTTACCAACCTTCAAATGTGTCCGTGCTCGTTTCTACCCACAGTTCCACCACCTTCCAGCCGTCTCAGTAGCACCACTGGGAGCTCGCACAGTTCTTGTTCTCCAGCCTCAAGCGGTCGTTCATGACTGTCTCCTTGGCCGGAGGAGGAGATTTGATGGCTATCACCAATCACAATATGGCATTGATGGGCATAAAATGAAGGGGACACATAAGTATATAGTCAACTTACAATATGATATCAGCTACCAGCTACCAGTATACCCGCTGGTAATGACTGTTGAGGTAAACATTGGGGAACATTGTTTTTGTTTTCAAAACGGTGAATCAGGGGAAATCATCCAACTAAATGAGCCATATGGTTTCCACAGCTATGTTAATTTACTAGAGGGTAGGTCTGGCAACCACTGATTTAGTTTGTGTGTTTCACGATGTGATTTTTTCCAAAAGCTGTCCCAATGTCAAATATCATGAAAATGTTGACATGTCCAGCAGAAAATTACATTTACCCACTGAAAACCGGGAAACAAAACAAACCAACCACTTGAGTGCTGCTTTTTCTCAAGCGTGTTGCCACAGATGGGTCATTCTTGATGGTAAAGCACAACCATTACTATATATATATATATATACACACCTCCAAAAGTGCGGTTGTAAGATCGTGTTCCAAAATTGCATGACCATGTGTGGTGTTTCTGTGTCACTCTGTTTCTGTGTGTGTGCGCGTGGGAGCGGGTGTCAAATTCCAGGTTTCATTGCTTATATCCCAGTGTCAATTTATTACATCCCAGTATTCATTGATATTCATTGGTTATACCCCAATATTCGAGGATTCTATCTGGGTTTCAATGTTGATTGATTCCATCAAAATATACTGTAAGAGTCCTTGGTAAAGCCTTCATTTTCCTTGGCACCAAATCCATTTTTTGGTGAATGAGTTTAGGCATTTTAATGCTCCCCGAAGTCCGTACAGATGGTGTCAAAGACCGAGGGATATCCCTTGATACATCCCAATGGAAGAGCGTCGGTTCAACCTGTTGGAGAAAAACTCAAAATAATGATAGGCGTGTTTTTTTTCTGGATTGTCAGTTCATGGATCGTGTTAGTCCAACTATATATATATATATATATACATACCATGTGTATAATGCGTATATATATATATATGCTACCCCCCCAGAACCGATTAAAACAACATTTCAACTGATATTTACAATAAAAACCACACTTTTTTGGTCGATTACTTTGCAACAAGTTTTCCTGATATATACATATGCGCATGACACTCTTCATAATCTACTTTTGATGGTATATTAACATGTATGTGTTATAGTAACATAGTACGTGTTGGTCAAATGTAAGTATTGCAGGAACATGATACCTATAGGTCATCACACGCGACTCGCAATGAAACCTTCACAACTACCGTGGAAAGGATATAAAGAAGGACATGCTTGCTATGGAAAAACACATGACCGACAGAAGTAAGAGTTAGTTGTTTGGTATGGAATCATTGGGTCTGCAGGTGTCTTGAGTGAGAAATACCGAAAGAAGCGAGATGTGGTTGTTTGGCATTGAGTACGCAGATGTTTTGAATGAACTATTGCTTGCTAGAGTGGAGAACTGATGTGAACATGGTCGACATGGCGGCAAGCAAGCACAGTGATTTATTTGGACCCATAGCAGAGTGATTTATTTTGATCCAGAAGTAAGAGTTAGTTGTTTGGTATGGAATCATTGGGTCTGCAGATGTCTTGAGTGAGAAATACCGAAAGAAGCGAGATGTGGTTGTTTGGCATTGAGTACGCAGATGTTTTGAATGAACTATAGCTTGCTAGAGTGGAGAACTGATGGTGAACATGGTGGACATGGCGGCAAGCAAGCAAGCAAGCAAGCAGGCAAGCAGGCAAGCAGGCAAGCCGGCAAGCCGGCAAGCCGGCAAGCAGGCAAGCAGGCAAGCAGGCAAGCAGGCAAGCAGGCAAGCAGGCAAGCAGGCAAGCAGGCAAGCAGGCAAGCAGGCAAGCAGGCAAGCAGGCAAGCAAGCAAGCAAGCAGGCAAGTGGCTTCTTCATGACTTTTCGTAGCGAAGCACGACGAAAAGTAAAGCGCACCAGGCCCATGTTGTAGTACAGAAGACCAGTGAGGCAAACTTTGGGAGCTGCTATTGGCTACGGGAGAGAAAGCATTGAGAACATAAAACAATTCGATTTTGTCGCGAAACAAAAAACAAAATAAAACAATAGAAAAAAAACTAAAGGTCTTGGGGATGGGGGGGAATGGCACAAACCAACAAAAGCATCGAGAAAACCAAAAAAAACAATATTCCAGAGGTCTTGGGGATGGGGGGGATTGGCACAAAGCAAAAAAAAACATCGAGAAAACCAAAAAAAAACAAAAAAAAAACAAAAACAACAAAAAAAACAATATTCCAGAGGTCTTGGGGATGGGGAGGTCCCACCAAGAGTTTCCAAATATTGTTTTTTTGTGTTTGTTTTGTTTTTTTTGGTTTTCTCAATGTTTTTTGATTTCTCTCCATGGGGTCCTCCCCAAAGAGACTCAAAGTATTTTTTTTTATGTTATCATTACATGGAGGTTTATACTGTTTTTTTTTCCGTTTATGGTACTAAGTGGTGGACAGACAACTTGAAGAGCAGACAAGTTGAAAGGGTGTTAACCAAGTTTAAAGGATGTGAGCCAAGTTGCAGGAAGGTACAGACAGTTGCTGCTTTGGTCGGTTCTGGGGGGGGGGTGACCATACATATATATATATATATATAATGTGTATATACATACCTAAAAGTATATATCTATATACATAATGTGTATATATATATATATTCGATGTGTATATATATATATATATACAGACTATGCGTATATACAACCTATGTATATATATATATATCATTATATAAATATATCATTATATAGAAAATTGTATATATGTGTATATCATTATATATAATTATATATATATATCGATTACTATCGATGCATGTGCATACATATTGGGCAGCACAACCCCCCAGAATCATCACCCAAGCTGGGAATTTGGAAATTGCGAAAAAGGGAAGAGCTGAATCGGTTCATTCTGGGCTCCGATTTTGCGTCTAATTTTGGTGGGGTTCATTGTGAGGAAGATGGGACGTGCTATTACATATGCCTATATATATCTATATCTATATATATATATATCTATATACTAGCATATATATACACCTGGACCCCAGCGACCTCCATTTTTGAAGTTTTGACCCATAAAATCGGGGGGCAAACCAACCAAAATAGAGGTCATTTGGGTTCCAGGCATAGATATGATATGTGTATATACAAATTATGTATGTTGCTATCATGTACATCCAGTCATCCATTGGGTACTGGATTGTTCATTACCCAGGTGTCCCGTATAATTATCATCTTACTAATGAGTCAATGGCAGTATCCCCTGTAAATCAAACATTGTCAAACATGTATGTGTATATATATATATATTGCTAATTATTGCTGTGTGTATATACACAGTATACACACATATCTATTTAGCCAACCGCTTTTAAGTATTTGATACTGTAGTTAAGTAGTATTGCCCAAAAACTGTCCGATACTTATGATCATATACCATCAAACAACTAAGTACTCCAAATAGCCTATAAACGTCCATTTTGTAAGTAGGATTTATCACGTACCTATTTACCACTGGATCATGGATAATATTTATCCGCTCCGAGTGGATCCAACTACTTCCGGAGAAGGTACTTCTTAAGCCCCAAAAAACATACCCCCGGATCCATAGGGGCCGGGTATTGGTATATATATATATGATTATATATGATTATATATGAAGAGATAGATAGAGGTTTACCCTGGGGCAAACAAGCCATAGATGTGGAAAATAAAAAAAAAAAAACATAGGTACTTTAAGTATTTGATACATAGTTACTTGACCCTAACATAGCTATTGAAAATGGCCATAGTTGACTTACCCATAAACAATGGTGGTTTTCCATAGTAAACTGTTACTTTATCCTAGGGCTATGATTGTATTTGGATTTACCATCTGGTTATTTAACATAGCCATGGAAAATCAACACCATTTTATAGCTAGGTAAACCATCTATTTTCATGGGCCATCTATCCCATGGCTATGTAACAAATAACCAGATGGTAACTTAATTTGTTGGTATAGATGATTGTCCCATTTAAAGATGATTTTCCCAGCTATAAACCTCCATTTATGGTTGGGATTTTCCATGGCTATGTTAGTCATAACCAGAGGCTATACCATCATATATCCTAATTAATCCCATTAAATCACCATTGAATCACCATTAAATCACCATTAAACCATATTAAACCACTATTAAATCCCATTAAACCACCATTAAACCACTATTAAACCACCATTAAATCACCAGTATTTGGATGGTTCCCATCGTTCGATCCAGCTTCGGAGTTGTACGAGCGCCGCCCTCCATAGGCCGCCAGCAGATCGCGGCAGCGGCGCCGCATGAGGCGCGCGGGCTCCTGCAATGGCAACTGTGGGCTGGGCATCCAAAGCTGGGAAAATGAGATCTAAACCACCAAGCATCTCCTAATAGGTGAAATTCCATGTGTATATATGTATGTATATATATATATTTGTATATATATATATACTTACATACATAAATATATACATATATTTAGAGAAATATATAATATATATAAACATATATATATATAACTGGAGGTATAACCCATTTCCTTAGGGGGATGCACCACCAATTTCAGGGTTCCCCTATCTTCTTAAAGAGAAAGCCAATTTGAAGCAACGAACACATTGAATGGAAACATGATGATTCAATCACCATGGAAGACTTTTTTTGTTGAGGAAGGACAATTCGGATCTTTATGCAATAATGGGGTGACGGACCAAAATGGGCTTAAGCTAGCGAACATGTGGATTGTCCCAACCTGACAAAACTACCAGGAGAATGAAGAAAATCAAGGAAACCATGCAGCTTAGCCAGTGGCTACTAGAGTTCTTGAACCGCATTTTTTCAAGAAAGGAATCGTAGGAATCTCAGAAAAATAGATCAGGCGATTCACCACTGAAAATGGGGGTGAAAGCATTCAAACTGGGGAATCAAGGAACCTGGTGATAGTGTTAACAATACTTAATGGTATTACACTTGAGACGTTTCAGCAATAGTGATCTGGAGATATGATGGGAAGATACCATGGCTGGAAATATTCCCATCATTGGGACGATTTACTAATGCATGAACATAATATATATATATATTATTTTATTTTTAAACATAGTATAATACACATTTATGAACATCATATATACAATCTACGATATATTTAAAAAAAAGCAGGTGCTTCCCAGGTATAAATAATAACCATTGTATTTAAACTACATATATACATATGGTCATATGGTAGTTAAAAAACATACTTTACTTCGTGTGATCCCCACCATGACATTTTTACATTTTGTTACTCGCAAATCTTCTGGCATTCTATCTGACATATCTTCTGGCATTCTATCTGGCATATCGTCTGGCATATGTTCTGGCATATCTTCTGGCATATCTTCTGGCATATCTTCTGACATTCTATCTGGCATCTCTTCTGGCATTCTATCTGGCATATCTTCCGGCATTCTATCTGGCAAATCTTCTGGCATTCTATCTGGCATTCTACCTGGCATATCTTCTGGCATATGTTCTGGCATATCTTCTGGCATATGTTCTGGCAATATCTTCTGGCATTCTATCTGACAAATCTTCTGGCATTCTATCTGGCAAACATTCTGGCACTTTATCTGGCATATCTTCTGGCATATCTTCTGGCATTCTATCAATTCTATCTGGCAAATCCTCTGGCATTCTATCTGGCATATCTTCTGGCATTCTATCTGACATATCTTCTGGCATTCTATCTGGCATATCTTCTGGCATTCTATCTTGCAAGTCTTCTGGCATTCTAGCAGGCAAAGCCCTCACTTGCGCACTTAAGATTTCACTCACTTGCGCACTTACCCTCACTTGCGCACTTAACCACAAAATTTCACTCACTTGCGCACTTGTGGGGAAGGGGTCGCATAGGGAACAAGGGGGGTGGGGGGGTTTGGGGGATGGGTCGCAGGGAACCAGGGGAGGGGGGGAATGGGGCCAATCTTTGGGACAAAGGGTGGGGGTGGGGGGGTCGCATAGGGAAAAGTGGAGGGTGGGGGGGCATTTGGCATTGGGAACAAGTGGGGGAGGGGTCGCGTTGCCAAGGGGGAGGGGTCGCATTGGGACAAGGAGGGGGAAGGGCGAGGGGTGGGGATCGCATTGGGAAAGGAGGGGAAGGGGGGAGGGTCGCATTGGGAAAAAAGGGGAAGGTGGGGGGGTGATTTTATCTGGCATATCTCATGGCATTTTATCTGGCATATCTTCTGGCATATCTTCTGGCATTCTATCTGACATTCTATCTGGCATCTCTTCTGGCATTCTATCTGGCCGTTGAAGTCCAGCGGTGCACACTGAGCTGGGCAGGTCCCAGGTTGAGGTCCAGCGGTGCACACTGAGCTGGGCAGGTCCCCGGTTTAGGTCCAGCGGTGCACACTGAGCTGGGCAGGTCCCCGGTTTAGGTCCAGCGGTGCACACTGAGCTGGACAGGTCCCAGGTTGAGGTCCAGCGGTGCACACTGAGCTGGGAAGGTCCCAGGTTGAGGTCCAGCGGAGCACACTGAGCTGGGAAGTTGGCAAAGAGCTTGGCGCAGAGAGTCGGCGAAGAGAGTTGGCAAAGAGCTGGGCCAAGAGTTGGCAAGGCAGAAGTGCAGGTGGAAGTTGATGCAGACATGGTCGAGGAGAAACTGGAGGAGGAGGCGAGGAGGAGGACGAGGAGGAAGAGGACAGCTAGTCGAGGAGGAGGAGGAGGATGACGAGGAGGAGGACGAGGACGCGGAGGAAGAGCGCTCTGATAAAATCTAACAACCCTCACCTGGCAGGTGGGGAAAAAAAAATATGTTTTGTTTCCAGGTGATTCCCAACTGCCAACGGCCAGGCGATTTCGACATTTCTCCAAGGCGCCGGGCCATTCATGGCCTGCCCAGGTCAAGGCTTAGGCCATGGTAGGTATGATCCATTTGAATCCATATATCATAACCGTATAGAAAAATGTAGAAATATTAGCATATGTACCATATTTACCATATATATTTTATACCAATATGTATCTATAAATGTAAATATATATATATATATACACACATTGGAAAAATGATTGGGCAATGATATATATATATATATATGGATAACTACATGTATTATATATATATGTGTAACAAGTATATCACCGTATTCTATATGATGTGGTAACCCAAAAATACCACTGCCATTTGGAGATGGTTTAAATCCCGGATTCATTTTATGAGCCATTTTTTATAGATACCCATGTTGATTGATGATAGGGAATTATATTACTTGGGTGGGGATCATTACTACCCATTTTATTAATAGTTATAAATCCCAAGTTAATAATCCCTGTCAGTTATATCATTGCTGTCCTGTTCGAATAAAAGTTAGACAGTAGATAATTCCAATACTATAATAATATTTAATATAATAACGACCGATGGAATGGTTGGTTCATAATGAAGATCCCCAATATCAAAGTATTCCCTTATTTTTGTTTATGAAAAAATATCCCTATCATTATAGTATACTATTGAAACATATCCCAAAAGAACAATGGATTACTATTATAGTTATACTATTAGATATAATAATCCCCATTCAATAGTTGGTTAATAGTTTTTATTGTTGGTTGGTTAATAGCATAACTGTCCCATTATAGCAACCCCAACACAGATAGAACAGTGGGACAGCCTGGAAATGTGTATGAAAAATCTCGTCATCATAATCCCCATTCGCCTCCAAATTAACAGTTCGACCCTGCGTTCAGTAGGGCTTGGAAGATTAGTGAAACCACTAAAAATAGGTTCAGGGTCAATCTGTTAACTTACCAGAGGGTATGTTTCAGAAAACCCTAGTTACAGATGGGATTATATTGGATACCCACTGTTATGTTAGGATATCCTATAGTGGATTATATGGCATAAAAAATGGGTAACTCTTCGCCAGTTGTCCCATGTTGTCCCTGCCCAGGCGCCCAGTATTCGGCTTCATCCACCTGGTCCACAACAAGAACTGTAGGGAAACCAACAAAAAAAACAGGTGTGATATTGTAAGAATGGTCATCTATTTACTAAATATTGAGATCCACTACAGATGAACGTAGCTCTAAGAAGCAAATATGGTGAAATCTTCCAATGGATGGGTAATCTTGGTGATTCTTGTTGGGCAAATATTGGGGCGATATACTCGAAAAAACATGATTTGGGCACGTCTCAGAATGTTGGATTAACGAGTGAAGGGTGTTTTAGATAGAACTGGTGTGTGTTAGATGATGCCATCATCTAGCCGGTGGAAAATATCATCTAAGAAGTGTGGAGGGGCAAAAATCTGCATTCCGTTAGATGAAAGCCAAATCGGGTTCGGTTAGATGTAAGGCCATCTCTTTAGATAAAAATGGGTTTCGGTTAGAAAAAATAGGGTTTCGGTTTGGTTTTTGGAGGTTTGGGTTAGAAGCACACCTAACACATGGGACTAGGGTGTGCGCTATACAGTGGAAAAAAAGGGGTATAACAATAAGGATTTTTGCCTAGGCGCCACTTCGTGATTTGGGATGGGATAGTAGCATTGCTTTGTTAAATCCATGTGCTGGGCATTATGCATTAGACCTTAAAAGATGGAATCTACTGCAAACTTGCATCTAAAATTACACCCAAAGTGTAAAACCCATGCCCCATGTGTCCAAGAATTAACTATATATATAGTATATTTTGGCCATTATAAATATTATTATTACTATTACTAGCACTTCTATTAATAGTTCTAGTGGTCAAATTTTGTCAAAAACTATAAAAACACATCCAACAACCAGCAATATCGCTATCCCCCTCCCCCAACAAAACACGAACCGATTCCCTGTTTTTCCCCTCATCTTTCGTCTCCAAGTGACCACCGTGTACCCATTGTAACAGGCCACATTGGGATCCAGCCCATGATCCATGAGGATGTACAGCAATTCATAACTTGGTGAACCCCGGTGAAAACCGCTTGGTGAAGCCGGAAGTCTTAAGTGGACCCGGTTACTGCTCGTCGGGTGGATTTTATTGTCTTAAATGGTTTGGTATATAGTTTTTTTTTTTTTTCGGCACTTGGCTGGTTGACATGTATGGTTTATGGTCAAGTTCCACGCGTTAATACTATGGTAAGTTATGGATGTTTATGGTCATATACATCCCTATACTAATGTGAATCCTTGCATGGTTATTTGTACAGAAAGAGCACTATGAAAGACTATATTTCATACTGGATTGATGATGATTGCTCATAGTATTTCCATAGTATTTCCATTTCATAGTGCTTGATTGATGATTCATCTCCGAATTTCTGGGTGAACAATCCAACTGTTGACCATGCTGAGTTCACCGAAGTTGGGATATTGGACCCCTATAACCATGGTGAAAAAACATGATAATGCTATTATATTAATTATAGCATTATATTAATGCAATATATATTGATAAGTTGGGATATTGGACCGTGGTTTTTCCTGGAACTGAAAAAACCCAGTGTAGTTGATCATGGGGTTGTATGGGCCTGAAAAAAGGGAATCAAATCGCGTGGTAAACACCATGGTTCTCCAGAATAAAGTGGGCAGCCGGGCGGGTAGTTCTCAAAACTGCTTGGTGGTTGAGTCAGCATCCCACCAAACTTCAATGGTGATACATCTGCGTCATCTAAAATGAAAATGACATGAGGAGCATTTGGGAGCACAAATTATGAAACAGCACAGAGGCTACAGGAAATTGTTTCCATGATACCAAAATGCTCTGGAGAAACTGGGAAATGTGCCACCTTCGAATGTGTGAAGCATCGCCATTGGTCAACGGAAACTCGCCCATCCCGAGGAAACCCACCACCTTCTGTAGGCCAAAGGTGACTCTACAACTAAGTATTGGGGAATTCAACGAGAATGACAGGCTGCTACTATTTGAACATATCATAAAATATCGAATTGTAGACATTCTTGAGTATTATAGATATTTAAATATATTTAATCAATATTTACAGATATGGCACGAAATTCATCAAAATCACCCTTCAAAATGGACAGCTAGAAACTCCAAGATCCAACCCAGCAGCTTCCCGCGGTTGGCTGCATAATGCATCGCGGTCTTGCCTGGGCCCCGTGTTTCGTTTCAAGCTGCATGAAGCGAGCTCGAGTTACAATTGCATATATATATATATTCTATATAAAATGCTATAACATATATAATATATATGATATATATATATATATATACACGCATATACATACATAAATACAAATAATACATATACGATATGAAGATAATACATATATACTATACTATACATATATATATATATATTAGACTATCTATTTACATAGATAATACACATATTGTATATATTACATATTCTATAAATCTGCATGCGTTGCGGTTGTTCCGATCCTCTAACAGGAAACCATTCGGAATTCATGAATCACTGCGCTGGATGGCGGTCTTCATCAAACGGATCTGAATGTGAGTAACCTTCCGGTAATCAAACATGGCAATGGACAATCCTCAATTTATAGCTGATTTTGCCTTTAGAATCCATTTACAGGGAATGTTCAACCGCCAGGTTTGACTACCGGAGGGTAAAGTCGTTTATCCTCGAAAGTGGTAATAAGCTACACAGCCTTGACAGTTTGGTGGTTGCCCTGAGAGTTTTTGGATTTAAAACCCCTGAAAGCGTCTACCATTCTCCATTGTTGATGGCAACGCATGCACCCATATCGTTGGTTGTTGTTGATTCAAAGTATAGCTCCGGACTGCCCACACGCATGGGAGACTTACAATTCGCATGATTACTATCTACTTACCAAGTCGGCAAAAGACCCTCTTACAGTGCGAAATGCAATAGTTGCTGACTCTTGTGGATCGCTCGCTCACTCCACAAACTGGCACTAAATGTATTGATCATGATTGATCCATACCCCAACTGGCTTTGTCATGATGTCCAGGGGCTATATCACCATCAATTACCATTATCACCGGTAATCATGCATAATAGTTCATGGGTTGATTGGTGATATTAATGGGATAACTATTGATAATCATGCACCACTATTAACAATGGCTTGATTGGCTTGATTTAATTACCATCATCAATATTATCATCAATGGTTATCCCAAAAAATCATCCCATCGGGACCACAAATTACTAATCGATTCACCCGTTTGTGAAGCATTGAGAAAAAGCACTACCATTCTGAAATGGTATATATAAACCATTAACCAAATGGAATATAAGGGTATATAAATGCTATGAAAACCATATCATCAAATGGTATATAAATGGGATAACCATTATTTTTCCACCATTACCCCATTGGGACCACTATTCACCACTCGACTACCCTCTGGTAAACTAACATAGCAATGGAAAAACACTATTTTTAATGGGTAAATCCACTATAAATGGCAATTTTCAATAGCTATGTTAGTTCACCACTCGACTAACCGATTGGACCCACCTGATTTGTCTCTGCCAAGACCGCCACCGCAGCGCAAGGCTTCCAGGACCGTCGCACGGTCATTGTGACACACCTCGCGTTGTTGACCAAACGCTGTGTGAACAAAGGGCAGATTCCGCCAAAATCGATTTATACGTATTTACACACTCTTATATATATATATATACTGACAATATATATATATATATATAATGATAATATATATATATAATGATAATATATTATATATATACACTTATAATATACAGTATATATAAATATACTGTACATGTATGTCATATAAAGTATCATTGAGTCATATGTGAAAAAATAACAAAAACTAAAGCTAGCAGCAAAATGGAAGTTTGATCAACTTCACTTGGGAAGTCTACCAAATTGCACTGACTCCGATTCAAAGCACACAATCTGAGGTATATAATTCATACATCATGGGCATATCAAATGCTCTTCTCAGTTGGCAATGTGGGGGTTATCATCCTCCAGCCCATGATAGGTAAATGATAGGCACAAAGGGAGGAAATTGGTCATGTTTCGTACTTGATTTACCAAGTTTTGCCCACTTGTATCTGGAGCGTTGGGAGCAACCCTGGTCAGTTTTGTATGCCAAAACCATTGCTGCAATCCCATTTTGAAGGCCATGAAGCAACGTTGGATGATTTTTTGGGGTCCTCCCAAATGGGATCCCATCTGATATCTCAACCATAGTCATAATAGTGTCGGTATCTCATATCCAGTGCCATTACCCTCTGGTAAACTTTCACATAACTATGGAAAATCATCATTTTTATGGGAAAATCCACTATAAATGGCCATTTTCAATAGCTACGTTAAATTACCAGAGGGTACAGGTAATTGGAGGCATCTACCATACGTCAAGGCCAGACGGAATATCCTCAGAAACGGCAGAGATGGCAACAGACCCACGGAGCATACCCCATGCCACGGGCAAATGGGGCATGTTCCTAAGTTCAAATCACCTGATGTTTGTTGGCTACCTGAAAGGATCGAAGATCACAGAAGGTGTCAGTTGGCTGTTGGCTATACATCCAACATATCTACCTATCCTAAGGGACTTTACTGTGGAGTTCCCTTGAGTTAATCCCTTCCCCTTCCTTCTGGGGCCCAGTTCAATTGGTGACACTTAATGTCAAATTGGTATATGCATTGGCCGCGTTGGCTATATTGGCTGAATATGCTAGCCTGCAGCAAATTAAGACAGCTATTTTTTTAAAAAAACTACTCGTTTATTGCCGATTTAGATGTTCGTTTCCATCGCCATTTTCCATAGCTATGTTAGATTTACCAAAATAACACATATCCATCTGTACACTCCACAACCTCTACACTGTGGTATCACCTGGTCTGCATCTATGTATCAGGATCCATAGCTATGTTAGATTTACTTCAGTTCGATTTACCAAAGCTTTGCTATATTGGCTATATACCACTATATACTTATTTCTACATAACTATATATATATATCACAATACATATATATTCATAGTTCATTATATGTACATATAGATATATACATAGCTATATCACAGTATATATATATATATATCACCTGGTTGGTGGTTTCAACCCCTCTGAAAAATATTAGTCAGTTGGGATGATTATTCCCAATATATGGAAAATAAAATTCATGTTCCAAACCACCAACCAGTATATATATATATATCACTATATGCGAGGTATATTCTATATTACTAAATTACTATGCTATATTGGTTATATAGCACTATAGATAACTATGATGATTCCCCTTATTAACCATGATTCCAGGGGTCGGTCGCAGTGAGGTCGTTATAATTTACACAGATATATATATATATAACTATATTACTATATTACAGTATATATTCTATATCCCCAAAGCCCAGGATGCTCAAAAATAGCGTCCAGTCAAGTCCAAGCCGCCGCTCGCCGCAGCCGGAGATGCGGATCCGCCGGATAGCTCCTGGAGTCCAAGCTCCCGGCAGGGGGCGTCGTTTGGACCGTGGCAGGCAACGCACCGGAAAAGCCATGGATTTAATGATGTTTAATGAGAACAACATGGAACAACCAAGCATTTTTTTGGAGATATTTTTGGTTTACTCATGAACAATGGTGAAAACTGATGGTTTGAAGAACTGAACCAATGAATAGGGGGCTGATTTAATGGTGCTACAATGATTTAAAATGGGGATATCAAGGGATACTGTATATATATATATGTATATATATATATGTATATATATATATGTATATATATATATATGTATATATATATACCATCATATACATATACATATATATATACTGATCGAGATGTATAACTGATAGAACTGATTTGAAGCAAACATGGTGGTTGAACTTGAACCAACAAATATCGTGGTTTAATGGATCTATGATGGTATATGATATGATAATATAATTAACCTACTGGAATCTTCTGGAAGTCTATCAAATATCCGGACCGAATAGGGATATGTAGTACGAACAGCAAACTTATTGGGAACTCAATGGGAACTGAATTGAATATACCATCAAACATATGCAAACATATGGAACATCATGCGAAATTATGAGATCTTAATGATTTGATGGGTATGTAATGGAATATACAACAAATGGAACTGATTTGAAACAAAAAAACATGCTGGTTTGACAGATGAAAAAAAGTGGTTGATTGTTTGTTTGTTTTTTTAGGGGATATAATTGGACATGGAATATACCCTCTGGTAATTTAACATAGCTATTGAACATGGTGATTTATACAGTAGTGGATTTACCCATTGAACATGGTGGATCTTTCCATAGTTATGTTAGTTGACCAGAGGCTAAACCTCCATTTTCCTATGGGTTTCCCTATGTTTTCCCATTTTCCCATGGGTTTTATCACTGGTTCGGAATAGATCTCCGGCGACTGAAAGATCTCAGCTGATTTCAACAATGAAATCAATTGAAGCCAGGTCAAGCCGTCAGTCGCTTGCACGGGGGCAAACCGGCTGTGGATGTTGTGGATGTTGTGGTTGTTGTGGTTGTTGTGGTTGTTGTGGTTGTTGTGGTTGTTATAGTTTCAAAAACACCGAAAACCCGAAAAACAACAACATGTACTGTATTGCATATGATTCAATATGGCTTTAAATATGTACAGTCACCGACAGAATTATGGAAAAAAAATCGTTTCAATTTACAGGCGCCGCCTGTCTATGATAGAAAAGTTACGAACCTTTTTTTTTTCCATAATTATTGTTTCCATAAATATTTGTTTCCATAATTCTGTCGGTGACTGTATGCCCATCGATTCGCATTTTGAATGCATTTTAAGGGGGGATATTGAATTATAGAAAATATGTGTCTAAAGATCTGGTATATGCCCCTAAGTCTTCCATTGATATACATAATATCATGTGATGTTCGCAATTTGAATGCATTTTAAGGGGGAATATTGAATTATAGAAAATATGTGTCTAAAGATCTGGTATATGCCCCTAAAGCCTGCCATTGATATACAGAATATCTGGATGTTTCCTTTTGCCAAGCCACCAATTGGGTTGATACTACATACTTGCATTTGCATACATATTTCCATAACCCCCCAAAAAAACGGGTTTGAATTGTGGATCCATGACATGTCCAACAGGTGGAGCCCCAAACATTAATTATGGAAAAAATAATTATGGAAAAACCGGTCAATCTGCCCTAGCCCCCTGATTTCACAGGAAAAATCAATTATGGAAATAATGGCCACCTCCAAGAAGTATGGAAAAAAAAAAGGTTCGGATCACTTCCGGGATATTTTGAACCCTTATGGGGAAAAATCCAACTATGGAAAAATCGGACGCAGGCGCCGCCTGTCTAAGTTGAACGTTTTATTTTTTTCCATAATTCTGTCGGTGACCATATTGCAAATCGGGCAAGAACATTAAACTCCCAGCTGGCGGCCAAGCTCGCGCTTTCAACGCTCCAGCATCATGAGGATCCGATGTATTGAATGTGGGCCATCCATCCCATCATGGGAATCCAGATGTATTGATGGATTGATGGATATGGATCATGGTAACATGGTAACAGAAGATAAATTATGTACTCATCCATAAGCAAAATGAATCATCCATACCATAAGCAACTATGCATAATGATAAAATATAATCTGGGATTCCATCATTCACTTATTTTATGGGATACATACTTAATGGGATTCCCTATCGAATCCCATCATCTAGGCGGTGGGAATCCCAAGACCATGGAAAACACAGTCAGTGACTAACACAAGCGAGCAATCAAATAGATCATCATCTGAAAAATTGGAAAGCTGCTTGGAAAGTGAATAGATCATCATCTGAAACCAACAACCAGTGTCTTGTGCACTCCAATCATGGGTTATGGGTCCAATATGCTTGGAATACGTTGAAGCCCTCAACAAAACATCACCTTTTGCATAGGATAATCGTGTCTTGGCTCATCTAAACGCTAGTATTGCTGGCCAGAATTTTATCCCATGTATGGCAACCAGCAAACTATTACACCATTACACACCATTCAACTAGCCTTTACCCAGGTTTACCATGGTTTACCCATAGTTTGAATGCTTGCCCTTCAACATATAGCGGTCCTCCTTGGCATGTAAGGAGAGGCCACATCCATTTGATCCTGTCTCGCCAAGCCTGTCTCGCCGAATGGCCGTGAGTTTTTGAAGAGTCAAAGCCATCGTTTTGGGGAAACCACCACCACCAAAAACATAGGAAACCTGGAGATGGTTCGGGAAAACATAAGATGAAACTTGCGGAATTGGGGACTTGGGGAGACTGGAACTGCGGAAAATCCCCATGAACATAGTTGACAAGGCCCAGAAACACTCCAGGCGATGTCCTGGGACCCAAGCACAATATGGCGTTCAGTGAAAATAGGGAACCGCATTGTTTTACTTACTGGTGCTAAACGTAGGGAATGGATGGGTTGCTGGGGGTTGCTGGGATGATGACATTACTAGTGATGAAATGGATCATTCCCGAAAATTCCCTGCTAAGCACCAGTAAGTTTACCTTCTTACAACGTGTGTGTTGCTGGCGGCCTTTTTTTTGTAGATTCCCCAGTACGTTTTTCTGCCTGTTGACATGAGTTCACGCATCATGTTCCCCCTGAAAATGGCCGAACAATGGGTAATTCCCCGGTTTCAGACAACCTCAAATCCTATATTGTTGACTATGCACATACATGATACATACATGATACATACATACCTACCTACCTACATACCTACCTACCCTACCTACATACCTACCTACCTACCTACATACATATGTATATATATATGTAATGCATAATGTATATATTGTATCATTCTATCCCCATAAAATCCTCATGTTCAACAGGGAAGAACCCAGAATTTCATGGGGCCAAGTGTCAAACACACATAGACGCAGAAAAATATCTTCGTCCGGGACACTGTAGCCACTCCATGGATTTATGTCTGCAGCAGGCACGGTAGGTACGGTAGGCACCGCAGGGCCAGATGTGCCTGAGAACTGGGATGGGATCTTTACAAATGTATGGCAGGGTTGTAAAGTGTGTAAAGAATACTATATAATATATATATATATATATACATATATATATATATACATACATAAATAGACAATGTCACTGTATATTATATTATTGTATATATATATATATACTACATACAGTATATATATATATATATACGTTATGTATGAATAAAGTACAATGATTCATCAACCTGAAAAGCTCGAACATAAAATGCTACAGTTACCCCTTCATCCTCGTGGTTTACCATCATTTATCCGGACATCGCTGTGACGTCGTGAAAAAAATATCCGGACGTGTATGGTGTATATGTGTGAATAAATGATATGCATTTATGTAGTATGTATATATATATATATATTATCATATCTATGGAGGTTTCCTAAGTCATGGGAAAAAAACCCTCAGTTCTCATCCGTTTTGTTTTCGGATTCTCAAGTGGCACCTCGATCGAAACCATCCTATTGGAATTATAAGCCATACATAGACTATCCCCAGTTATGTAGATAAATAAATATACATGATTATATATGAGAGTTCTAAACCGTTTCCGAACTGGGACGATATTGCAACGCATATCATATGGATTTCTTTTAGACATCTTTTCAGTGCTTTAACCATTGATTCACCATGAAACTAATATTCTAATGCGTAATAATGGTTAATAATAGCTACTAGTTGTTAGTAATGGTTAATAATGGTTGATAATGGTTGATCATGGTTCAGCATGGTTGATAATGGTTCAACATGGTTGATAACGATTGAGAATGGTCGATAATAGTTTAAACTGGTTAATAATGGTTATTGATAATGGTTATTGATAATGGTTATTGATAATGGTTAATAATTGTCAATAATGGCTAAGAATGGTTGATAGTGGCAAAAAAAAGTTAATAATGGTTGATAATGCTTAATAATGGTTAAAGTCAATAAATATGTTAATATAGGTTCATAATGTTGGATTGGCCAGACATTCGCCTGTTTTTGTGAAATGTTTTTCAACATCTGAAGAGATCTCATGCGTCGTTTTTGGATCCATGGATCCAGCGGAAATGCCATGCCAGTTTCTTAGTCTTTTAAAACTAACAGTTTGCTATTGAAAATGGCCATTGAAATAGTGGATTTCCCATGATTTCCCCATTAAAAATGGTGATTTTCCATAGTTATGTTAAATATTGTTAAATTACCAGAGGGTACATCGGAGCATGGCTTGCAAGTGGCATAACACTGGCTTGTTCAAGAAAAGACACTCCTTCTGCTGACAATGAAGTCGTGGACAATGGTGGCACGGGCGTCATCCAGAACCTTAAGATACCTTAAGTACTTTCCCAATTCCCAATCTAGATTGATAGCTTAAGCAACATGGGAACAACAACACCCAGTTCATCGAATTCTTATACATGGCCTTGTCCCAGAATTCTCTTCAACCAGTGCCACCAGGGGACCGACTGCGCCATTCCACAGATTGGGATTCGGCGCCACTCCCGGCGCGCCTAAAGAAGTCTGAAGGAGTCAAGGAGACAAGACTCAAAAAATACCATCCGGAAATCAAACCCGGAAAATCCATGAACATCCACCATGCATAGATGTTTTTCCCAGAAACCTCGGACTTGGTGGTTTACGCTAAGGCTAAGAAATATGCAATCATAAATACGCATCAATGTGTCAACAAATCTCCGCTGGCAATCTCTGTCACTGCCTTGGTTTCAATGCACGTGCATGTATTGCTATATCATGAGAAACCGATTGCACCATCGATGGAGGTATGGTACAACAGGGTAAGTAGAGAAACAATCCTGCTGAACACCGCTAGATTTTCTCAATCAACTCGTGAAAACCGATGGCAGTTTTCTTTCAGCCGTCTCTGATCCTCTAATCCCCGCCTCACTTGATCTTCAGTTCAAATTCGCAGCTGAACACACACTGGCACACAGACCAGGCGAGTCCGACAATTTCTATGGCCTTACCCCAATCAGAATTAATTGCAATATGGAGGTTTCCTAAAATGGGTACCTCAATAGCTGGATGGTTTATAAGGGAAAATCCTGCAAAAATGGATGATTTGGGGGTACCCCCCTGACTTAGGAAACCTCCATTTTTTTACCTTCCCTTCAGTGCCACCAGGGGACCGACTGAGCCATTCCACAGATTGGGATTCGGCGCCACTCCCGGCGCGCCTAAAGAAGTCTGAAGGAGGCAAGGAGACAAGACTCAAAAAATACCATCCGGAAATCAAAAGCGGAAAATCCATGAACATCCACCATGCATAGATGTTTTTCCCAGAAACCTCGGACTTGGTGGTTTACGCTAAGGCTAAGAAATATGCAATCATAAATACGCATCAATGTGTCAACAAATCTCCGCTGGCAATCTCTGTCACTGCCTTGGTTTCAATGCACGTGCATGTATTGCTATATCATGAGAAACCGATTGCACCATCGATGGAGGTATGGTACAACAGGGTAAGTAGAGAAACAATCCTGCTGAACACCGCTAGATTTTCTCAATCAACTCGTGAAAACCGATGGCAGTTTTCTTTCAGCCGTCTCTGATCCTCTAATCCTTCAGTTCAAGTTCGCAGCTGAACACACACACACACTGGCACACAGACCAGGCGAGTCCGACAACTTCTATGGCCTTACCCCAATCAGAATTAATTGCAATATGGAGGTTTCCTAAAATGGGTACCTCAATAGCTGGATGGTTTATAAGGGAAAATCCTGCAAAAATGGATGATTTGGGGATACCCCCCTGACTTAGGAAACCTCCATATTTTTACCTTCCCTTCAGTGCCACCAGGGGACCGACTGAGCCATTCCACAGATTGGGATTCGGCGCCACTCCCGGCGCGCCTAAAGAAGTCTGAAGGAGTCAAGGAGACAAGACTCAAAAAATACCATCCGGAAATCAAAAGCGGAAAATCCATGAACATCCACCATGCATAGATGTTTTTCCCAGAAACCTCGGACTTGGTGGTTTACGCTAAGGCTAAGAAATATGCAATCATAAATACGCACCAATGTGTCAACAAATCTCCCCTTGCAATCTCTGCCACTGCCTTGGTTTCAATGCACGTGCATGTATTGCTATATCATGAGAAACCTCTTGCACCATCGATGGAGGTATGGTACAACAGGGTAAGTAGAGAAACAATCCTGCTGAACACCGCTAGATTTTCTCAATCAACTCGTGAAAACCGATGGCAGTTTTCTTTCAGCCGTCTCTGATCCTCTAATCCCCGCCTCACTTGATCTTCAGTTCAAGTTCGCAGCTGAACACACACTGGCACACAGACCAAGCGAGTCCGACAACTTCTATGGCCTTCCCCCAATCAGAATTAATTGCAATATGGAGGTTTCCTAAAATGGGGGTACCCCAATAGCTGGATGGTTTCTAGGGAAAATCCTGCAAAAATTGATGATTTGGGGGTACCCCCATGACTTAGGAAACCTCCATATTTTTACCTTCCCTTCAGTGCCACCAGGGGACCGACTGCGCCATTGCACAGATTGGGATTCGGCGCCACTCCCGGCGGAGCGGTTCCTGAAGCACCACCTGGGTTCGGTCGGGAGAGCATGGCATGCGCGGCTTATGTATTGGATCGCCTGGTTACCACCAATCATAGCCATGTAATACGGAAAATTGTGATTAAATGATGAAGACCTGGGTTTTGGGATACACGATTTTCAGACAGACCCTTTCTTTGTTGCAAAGAGCCTTCTTGCAAACTATGGTGGTTGAAGGAATGTGTTTGAACCATACAGCCCTTGCCACATCCAGCGGATGATAATCCCCTTGCGAATGTAGAAAATCCAAGTCCCAAATCTGGGGTCCGGATTTGAATGGGACCACGAGTGAACCAAAACATATATACATATGCTTTACAATTCCATGTAGATGTGAAACCACCATAAATCCTTCATAGTCATAGTTAGCCTAATATGTGTATATATATATATATATTCATATATATATAGCATATACATGTATATTTCATATTTACATATATATATATATAAGTATATACATATTCATATTTTCATATATGTATATATTATTACATAATCCCATCCTCTAATATTAAACAGTCCCCTGAAAGCTTTAAATCCCCTACATCCACCAGCAACCTTGACCGTACGGTGATATGAACCCAGGAGCTGCTCCAGGTTCCAGGGGCCAGTGGTGGATCACCTCAACACTTCAAACCCGCCAGATAGGTTTCACTATTAATTCAACTAGTAAACCAATATTTAAATAGTAGTTAACTTTAACCACTAAGAAAAAAATGAAACTTAAAGTTAAACTCTTAATTTTTACCAGGTCAAACTATTTCAGTGGTCAAACACTGTATTCAAACTGAACATTTCAGGGTCAAAATCTTAATTTACCAGAGGGATTCCAGAGGCTATGTGATGATGCCTTAAATAGTTTAGAAAATCATGGTGAAATGTGGTTAGAACACAAAAAGGATCCGAATCTGAAATAGCGGTAAAATAGTGGTAAATTGAACCCTTTCGGCATCGTTTTTGGGTACTACAAATATGTTTGATGATTTTTGGCCGTGTTTGTCATAAATATATATATATATTTGTTGAATTGTTGGTCACTTTTTTGGTCGCAATGGTGCATGTTTTGTGAAGTTCAAGCTAGACCATTGGGTGTGTTTGTTTGAGGGAAAATGTACATGGATCCCAACCTCGGTTATACTATAGTCATTTTTTCCAGTATACCTTAAAAAGTGTCCGCTATCTCACCTCCACCTCTGTATCCTTCTGCCTCTGACTCTCGATGTCTCTAACCCAATATCCGCATCTCTCTACCTCCATCTTCGTATCTCCTGTCCATATATAAATATCATATATGAAATATCCCCTTCCGGTAATTTATATAACATATATAGCTACGGTATAAATGTCCCATTTAGATCGATGATTTACCTACGTATTAAACATTGTGATTTTCCGTGGCAAACCGTTAAATGACCAGATGGTAATTTACTCGTGTATATAGAATATAATATATATAATATAATAACTAAAATATACTATGTTTACTATTGAAAATATAAAATATTAGACAGAAACAACATATAGCGTATAACCTATAATATAATATACAACATAATATATATATAATAAAGTAAAAAAATATAATATATAATCGAATCAATAAAATCGAATATATAATATATAATATATAATATATAATATATAATATAATATATATATAATATAATATATAATAAATATATATAATATATATAATATAATATTTAATATATATTATATAATATATAATTTATATAATATAGTATATAATATAATATAATATAATATATAATATATATATAATATTATATATTATATAATATAAAAATATAATATAAACTATAAAATATATAACATATAATCTACAATATATAATCTACAATATTTAATATAAAATATAAAATAATATATATATATTTTTTAAAAAAAAACATAACATAACATAACATAACATATAATATATAATATAACATAACATATGATATAATATAATATACCCTCCAGTAAATTAACATAGACCCTGCCAGATAGGGCTTGGAAGATTAGTTTCCAGTACAAAATGGTGATTTCCAGGGTCTATGTTTATTTACCAGAGGCTAATATATCATAATATATATATATATACCATCTGGTTCTTTAACATAGCCATGGAAAATTCCTTATACATGGAGGTATTAATGGGAAAATCATCTATAAATGGGCCATTTTCCATGGCTATGTTAAATAACCAGAAGGTATATGTATATATATAGCATTACATAGCACCATTGCTGTCAACGATGTGACCCATGGTCGACATGGAGGCTGCACATCCAAAACAGCTTAAAATTTTCGGACCATACGCAGATATAAAATGCACTTCTGTGTCAACTGGCTACGTGTATATACATAGAGTCGAATGTGTGTAAGCAAACTTTTGCAGACTCATTAAAACTTGAACCAATTGTCCAGATTGTATCAACATGTTGAAACCCTGGTTTATGATCTCATTACCTGCATATAAATAACAATCTCATTATCTTCAAAAACATAAACTGCCCTATCCATCACTGACTTGTGCTACTATACCCATGTACATGCCCCGCAATGCTGTCTTCGGTATAATATATATGTATATATATTTATTTATTTATCATACATAGCATTATGTAGCGGGTCTAAGGTATGGTTCACTCATATTGTGTAATGTACATAGACTATATCATATCTAAATTATGATAGAACTTTTACAAAACATATCAATGTATCAATCTAGTTTATATGCCTGTATAACATTATACAAGTTGCAAATAAATATATGCATGCATAAATGGTCCATACATGAATATATATAAATATATGTGCACATATATACGCATATGTATATACATACATACATACATATATATATATATATGTATGTATATATGTATATATGTATATATGTATATATGTATATATGTAAATATGTATATATATATATATCTATATATTTAAATTTATATTTATATATGTATATGCATGTACACCCATGGTGAATTAAACATGGCAATGGAAGAACCACCATTTCAAGTTGATTTTTGTCCAGCTATAAACCTCGATTGCCATGTTTGATTACCGGAGAATATATATATATATATCAAAATCCCACTAGAAGAGTGATTCATTATGATTCATTGGTATGCTTCTATCTTCTTTGGGGTTTCTATATATGTAATGTCCAGAAGATCAATATATATATATATGTTTGTATGTATATATATATATTATATTTTATCATATTATATTATATTATATTATATATATTATGTTTATATTATATTATATTATATATTATATTATACATTATATTATATTATATTATATTATGTTATATATATATACTTTATATATATTCTATATATATACACACTAAACACGTATATCCCCCAAGATCCATCTTCACTGCTGAGATCCCGGGTCGCTCAAGCCCGGTGAAAGTGGCACCTGGATACCATGGGACTTCACGGTTGAAAAGCCGTGATTTTCTGGGATTCAATAGGATTTCATGGGGAATAGTAGGAAACATATGGTCATTTGGGATAATTCTGGCTCAACCTCACTTGCGGCAGTGAGTTTGGATCACTTGCGGCAGTGAGATTTTCCAGTCACTTGCGGCAGTAAGACTGCATCACTTGCGGCAGTGAAACTCTTATAGCGTTATAAACCGATCACTGCGGCAGTGAAATTTTGGAACTTCGTATTCCTGGTGGGGTGGGGGGTGGGGTTGGGTGGGATAATAACGTTCATGTTCTGTACACACACAGGCACGGGAAGAGGCAGTGGTCTTTCATCATCATATTTACCTGGGTGGGTGGGGTGGGTTGGTAAATAACGTTCATGTTCCGTACAAACACGGGCACGGGACAGTCCTGCTCTTTCTCAACGCTGGGGTGGAAGTGGGGGGGGTGGGATATACGACATGTTCCGGTCACACACAGGCACGGCAACAGGCACTGCCTTTCAATCATCAGTTACTGCTGGGTGGGGGGGGGTGGGGTGGGGTGGGGTGGGGTGGGGTGTGGGTGGGGTTGGGTGGGGTGGGATAATAACGTTCATGTTCCAGTACAACCACACAAGCACGGCAACAGGCAGTGGTCTTTCATCATCAGTTACTGCTGGGGTGGGGTGGGGTGGGGTGGGATAATAACGTTCATGTTCCAGTACACACACAGGCACGGGAACAGGCAGTGGTCTTTCATCATCAGTTTCTGCTGGGGTGGGGTGGGGTGGGGTGGGATAATAACGTTCATGTTCCAGTACACACACAGGCACGGGAACAGGCAGTGGTCTTTCATCATCATTACTGCTGGGGTGGTGGGGTGGGGGGGATATAAGTTCATGTTCCAGTCACACAAGGCACGGCAACAGCAGTGGGTTTCTGCATCACAGTTGGCTGCTGGTGGTGGGGGTGGGGTGGTTGGGGTGGGGGGGGGTTGGGTGGGTGGGATAATAATGTTCATGTTCCAGTACACACACAAGCACGGCAACAGGCAGTGGTCTTTCAATCAGCATAGTTACTGCTGGGGTGGGTGGGGTGGGGTGGGATAATAACGTTCATGTTCCAGTACACACACAGGCACGGGAACAGGCAGTGGTCTTTCATCATCAGTTTCTGCTGGGGTGGGGTGGGGTGGGGTGGAATAATAACGTTCATGTTCCAGTACACACACACACACAGGCACGGCAACAGGCACTGCTCTTTCATCATCAGTTACTGCTGGGATGGAGTGGGGTGGGGTGGGATAATAACTTTCATGTTCCTGTACACACACCGGCTCGGCAACCCCATCATCTTTCTGTCAGCTAATAACGTGCACGTTCCTGTACATATACAGGCACGGCAACAGGCAACAGGCACTGCCACAAACTAAATTTCCAGGAACCATTGCGCAGCGCTCCAGCATCTGAACACATTGAAATACGTGGCCCCCGCGCCCCTGCAACCAGAAGAAGCGTTGAAGCTTCCCTTTTGCTTTCTCAATTTCTCCAAAATCCGTCCATGGAAATACACGTTCGCTTAACAGCTACAAATCTAGTCGCGGTCGCGCCGCTATATGTATATCTCAACATGACCGGATCGCAACGATATCTATTAACACTATAGCAACCGTCGCATTATATATACCCAAATGCAAAACGAAAAGACATGAAAAACACAGCAAAGCTGAAATTCCACCTGGATAACATAAACCTCCTGTAATTCGGCGTTGCAATGGTTCCAGTCAATGTCTAGAAATCACAGGGATAGAAGACAAGTATGTGCGCAAATGCTGTAAAGCATCTTACTGCCACAAGCGATTGGTTTTATATACCCTGGCATCAAGGACACCCACTTCACTTACCCCCACAAGCGACAGATTTTTACCGCCACAAGCGATCCAAAAATGGTCATCGCAATCTTACCGCCACAAGCGATCAGGCCTTGAAATGCTCCTGCCACGCAAAAACATCACTCACTCACGGCAGTAAAAAAAGATCACTTGCGGCAGTCAAAAAATGAACCAAAAATGAACAATCTCACTGCCACAAGCGATCGGCGCATCTCACCGCCACAAGCGAGGTACAAGCCATAATTCTTGGGATTTCCTGACCATCTTTACCATCAATCATTGTCATTTACCCAACATGCTTGTGAAAGTGAAGGGTTGCCCCTCTGTTGAAGCAACTGTTGGAAAAAGGACCCGTTCACCCAATGCAATTCACAAAGCGATATCTTATCAATCCGAAAAACAAATGATCTAAACTGAACCACTGCCTGTTACCTTATCTGTGCCAATTACAAGCAAACTGACTTTACTTTGCCGACCTCAAATAAGGTGACGTTGCGGAGGATTCCTCCTAGTGAACCATCATTTCTGGTGTATCCATACCCTTGGGTGATTTGGCTGGGAAGTCCGTGGAAAAAGTTTTTCGTGGGAAAATCCGCTGACTGACATGGATAGAAACAGGAAACTCGCCAAAGACGCTGAGCATTGGCTATCACTACAACTGACCAGTATAATGATATATGTTGATTGTCTGAGGCCAATATAAATTGCTACATACAATCTATGATATTTATATATATATATGGATGTGGGTCAAAATGGAAGACCGATGTGGGACCACAGATGTGAATGTCTGGTTTAGTAGAACAACCATCCAATATTTTGAGGTACCTAATTTTGACCCATACCCATATATATATATGCACCATATCCGAAAAACTACAGATATGCTATGTTAATGGGAAAATCCACTATAAATGGCCATTTTCAATAGCTATGTAACAAATTACCAGAGGGTATATATTGACATATCATGCAGTTCGAAACAGGTCCTGGATTGATGTTATTCCATCGGGTAGGAAATCAGACGGATGTACTACTTGCATTGAATATGCAACCATGTGTAGGTGTATATATATATATACATATACATGACTATCAAACCATGTGCACATCAACAAATGTGTATGTATGCATATATATATATAGATACCATATTCATATGATATATCATAATATATATAAATATATATATATATATGATTGAAAGTAACTTTCAAAAAATACATGTTGTACATACATTTAATTGGCTTTAGATGGCGCTTTTTTCAAGCAACAATCATGTGGATGTCAGTTTCCAAGGTTTCGGGATTGAAGGCCTGCACCAGTCATGAGCTGTTTGGATAACCTCTGGGGTCATGGAGTTTCGGTTTCCAAAACTCGTGTCCCCCTATTATTGGTTTAAAAATGATGGTTTAAAATGATGGTTCCCAAAAATGATGGTTTAAAAAACCTCTAGGTTCCCAAAAATGATGGTTTAACATCTCATGTTCCCTATTATTTGATGGCACAATTGGAGTAGGCGACCCCAACATTGTCAGGCAGACCCATCTTGAGACCTTGTCAGATTTTCGGGAGTTGCAAGAGAAAATGGCAATAAAACCATCATTTTTTGGGGGTACGTTATTTTCAGACAGATGCCGAGAAATTGAGGTATTTCTCTCTAATTTGGGGATAAGACCATTTGAGCAGTCTTCAAAACGATTTGTTATTCCATTCTTCTGATGGGTCAAGAACGGGATTCACAGAATGCATAATAATCACCGAAGAATTAGCAAAATACAAAGTGGATCCAGGTTGTAGGACTTACAGTAGTGTATAAACTCATATGCTAATCGACCAACAAAGGTTCTGAACACTGCCGGCAACGTACCCGGCCTTGTTAGAATGTGACACGCTGCGTTGGCGAGTCTCATCATACGTTACCGGCCTCAAAACAAAAGGAGCCCCCTTGATGTCCAAGTTGGATTGCAAACTGCAGGGGCTTGGGGCCATCCTGATCTGCATCATGGGATCCAATAAACAAATGAGATCTTATCTAATGGTGTTCCCATGATTTATGGATATCATGCGATACAATGGGATGTAACTAACCAACAAAGAAAAGGCTATGGGCCGGTATGGGTGACATGTTAAGACCTTGGGGACCAGCGATTTTAGTACCATCTGGTTATTTAACATAGCCATGGGAAATCACCATTTCTAATAGGTAAACCATCTATAAATGGACCATTTTCCATGGCTATGTTAAATAACCAGAGCGTATATTTTTTAGATTTCACCGTCTAAAAATCTGGGGTACCTTTTTGACCCATACCCATATGATTTAGGTGTGTCTGAAACTTGGGATCGCCCAAGTTATGGCAATGTGGATGGGAGGACTGAGATCATGGGATGGCATGGGAATGAAAGTTGGCAAAGATTTGTTGGATACTTGGGGCTGCAGTTGAGGTTAGAAATGAGTTTGGGTATAACTATACGGTATAACTTACTGTATAACCCTATCACTATGGTATACTAAGGCTGTGTATCCATTTATATCTGGAACTGCACTTCCAAGTCTTCTTGTTGGGCACCGACCTGTTCTGGATTCGCGATCCAAAAACACCAACACCAGTCAAATACCTATGGAAAAGCCGCCAGTTGTATATCATGTTCAAGGAAAACTGGATTTCCATAGGTATTTTACTGTATTTCCAACACACCTTCCAGCAAAATACTCTGTATAGTTGGAAAACAACCATGGATTTCCATATACAGAGCTTCCTGCAGCTCCGGACACTTTGACAGAGCTGGTTCCCAGCTTTTTTCTGCATTCCCAACTTGAACTTCAAGCGGCAAGGGTATCAATTGCCATGATCTGATGGTCATCAAACATGGCAAGGGAAAATCCCCAAATACGTGGATGATTTTTCCATTGAAGCCTCCATAAAAAAAGGTGATTTCCCATTGTCATGTTTGATTCCCGGGCAGTATCCTCAAAAAAGGGCAACACAATCTAAGGGAATGGCTAACCGCCAGGGTTCAACTAGGCCCAGGCCTCCTGAAGCTGTTCTTGCCTCTCAAAAGAGTTCAACGAAGTGATTTATCCC